AAATGAAAAAAATTAAGAGTAACCAATTACACAAATGGAGGAGAGAAAGAGGAATTGTTGCCAACTCACAATGAAGAGGAGAAGAAGCTACTATTGCTACACTATTTATGGAGAAAAGGATGGAGGAAGAGAAGGAAAGGAGAGGAAGAAGAAGGAAAAGAGACAAAGAAGAAGAAAATGAAGGAGGAAAAGGAAAGAGATAGAGGCGAAGAAGAAAATAAAAGAGAAGCGGAGTTTGGAGGGAGTTGCTAGCGTGAATGAAGGGAAAATAAGGAAGGTAGAGCTATTGAAAAAAGAGAAGAAGAAGAAATGAGGAAAAATTTTGGACATTAGCTATTTAGGGATTTCAAGTTTTAGTGACGATTTTGACCCATTGCTAAAACCATAGCTAAAATTTAATTTTTTATTTCAATTTTTTTCCCACTAACGTTAATAAATTAACGACGGTTTTCATAAAATTGTCACTAAAACCCTATATTTTCAAAGGTTTTAGCTTAAAGATTTTAGCGACGGTTCGTTAAAAACTATTGCTAAATTCACTCAAAAAGGGGGGCTTTTGTGACGATTTCCATAAAATCATCATTAAAAACCTAATTTTGTGGAATTTATGACGAGTTTAGTTAAAACCTTCTCTAAATAAAAAATATATATTTTTAGTGACGGTTTAGTTAAAACCATCATCGAAAAACATATAATTTGTCCGATTCTATGATGGTTTTTCAACCGTCGTTTAAAACCAACATTTGACAAAAAAATTAGCTAGGGTTTGCTGAAAACCATCGCTAATTCATGGATTTAGTGATATATTTAAATATCATCGCTAAAAAACCATCATAAACTACTTGTTTTCTTATAGTGAGTCATGATGACTTGGTAGAAGCCAATCTTGATTTATGAGATAAAATAAGTAAAATAAGTGTCTTTTATATTCTCTATACATTGCCAATATGTTTAGAAACCTATTGAGTTACATGCATAAATTTAAATATTCACATGAAAAAGAAAAGTGAAGATTTTGAAAAAAAAATTCTATTTTAGAAATCAGTTTTCTAATTTGGAAGTTAGTTGCCTAAAATGAAAATCAGTTTTCTAATTTAGATTTAATGAAATACAAGGGTAACTTAAGAAATTGTTTTCTAATGTGGGCCTTCCTAAAATTACCGGACTCGGTTTATTTGAAAGATCCAAATTAATTATTAAGCTATTGGACCAAAGGAGTTTGGATCAACGGACTCAAGTAAAAGCCTGCAAAGTATTTTAAGTTGAGGGATAATGTTGAGCACTTAAATATAAGGCTCGAGTTTATGATAATAAAATAAAAAAAAGCCCACATAAGTTAAAACACCTTTTCTAAACGGGAGTTTTTGCCACTTATATAAGTGAAAGTGAGAGAGAGATGCAAAACACTACAATAATAAGGAAAAATTTTATGCATCTCTCACTAAAATAAATAAACCTTTGAGAGATTTTTTTAGAGAAAAATATACATAGTGGAAAAGGTTAGAGCTAGCACTCTATGATTTATGCCGCTTCTTATGTGGGTTGTGTGGATCATCACGAATTTGATTCCGCATTACAAGAGGTAACATTTGATCCATTTTATTCAATGATTAATCTTGAGACTTTAGATGAAGAAGAAAATTTTTTTGATTTATTTCATAACTCTATAACATGCATGATCCTTCATCACTTACTACAAATATATGAATCGAATGTTCTCGCTTAAGGATAGACGATAAAAAAAACCAAGTAGAGCCGGGATAAGCATCACCTGTAGCTGCTTGTGATCAACGTTGATTGTACAACATTGAATACTTTTATTATTTTTGTAGAATTTTCACTAGTCTTTTAAGTCGGCGTATCAACTGCAACATTGAGATCCGTGTTCAACTTGTCAATATCATCCATGACATTCGTAGAAATGACAAACCATGCTATATTGATGGTCTTCATAAGAGAGAGATACCTCGTAACATTTTTTAGGGTTTGCATTATTGACGTCGGGCACCGCTGGGGAGGCCAAAACAAGGAGTCGTCACCTAGTCGCTTGAGGAGAACTAAGAAACCTTAAAAATTTGGCGTACATGGATATCTAGACAAGGGGTTGGTTACGTATGGAGAAGACATGACGTCAACATCATCCCGTCCTACCTAAGGTAGACTGTATTATTTATCTATGAATATAAAACAGGGGAGTTTGGGCGTTTCGACCGGTCCAACGCTAATACGCCCTACCAAAACGAAGGAAAAATAAATAAATAAAAAAGATAGAATTTTAGCTAATCATTAACAAACACGACCTATTATCAATGAATAGGTGAGTTTTTAAAGATAAATAGTCTTTTATTGGCATGAGTCGCGAGTCATCGACGACTTCGCTCACACAAGTAGGAAGCCACCGACGACTTCGAGTCATGAGTTTAAAGCTAAAGATAACCTCATCACACAAGTTGAAAGTTACCAATCATTTTATTTAGCTTAGGCGAGGAGCGAGATAACTATTTGAAAATCACTACTAGCTTTGTCACATAAATGAAAAGCCATTGGCTACTTCATTTTAAACAAATAGATATTAAATGAAAAATTATTTTCGAAGCTACCGATGGCTTCATCACATAAGTGGGAAGCTACCGAAGCTTCATTTCAATGAAATAAGCAATAAAACATAGAAAACGAAAAGTAGGGAATAGTAAACGAGAATTAGGGAAAACGAGGATCGGGCACTAGATAAAATGATTTTCGAAACCACCAATGGCTTTATCACATAAGTGAGAAGCCATTGATGGCTTCATTGTAGTATTGCGAACAATCATATAAAGTCAATTGAATCAAAAAAATTAAGATAAATTTCATATTTGGACGACGAGGCATAGTAATAGGAAAACTCGACATATTGTTCCTTAATGATCTTTGCGGTAATGTTTTATTTTAACCATATTTAATTTGCAAATGTTACACCAAATATCACAATTTCAACCACATTCCCAAGCACACAATCATTTTCACACATTTATCATGCTTCGTAAATGTTATGTTTTGGGATTTTTATCCAAAAAGTTTAGAAGTGTCGACATTAGGTCCGAAGTCAATTCTACCTCCTTCGTTCCCAATGATAATCGAATATTCGATTAGCAAAAAAAAAAAGGGTAGTTATTGGTCGATAATGTGAGCATAAGTATTGCTAGGGTGGCCAAAAACTCCTCCTTTACTCGAGTGAATGTTCCAAAGTTATTACAAAATTTACTAAGTTTTTGAAAAATCCAAGTGAGTTCTACGGAGTTGTTTTCCTGTCAAAAAATAAATCAAATGCATCTACAACATCATGTTGTTTCTACCAATAATCCAACATTAGAAAATCTTGTCTTTCCTTTTTTTAATTTTTTTTGCTTTATTTCCTCTTTTTTAGTAACTTAAAAAAAGTATTCGAGGGTCGTTTTGAGGGAGATTTTGTGTCCGTGTTGGTGGGTTTTTTTGAGTGATTTTGAAGCTGGTTCGGAGGTGTTTTTGAGGTCTGCTTTGGTGATTCAAATGGTCTATTCGAAGGGGATGCTGCGAAAGGGTTTTTGGGGGCTATTAGTAACGATTGCGTGGCTGATTTTGGAGGGTTTTTGGTAGGTTTTCTAGGTCCGTCTAGGGCTAGTTTGGAGCTTCTTTGAGGGCTGGTTTTGGTGCTTTGAAGGAGGTTGAAGTGGGGGTTTTGATGGCTGTGTTTCGAGCCGAGTTTATACGAGAAAAAGGTCGACTAAAAGGGGGTCAGTAGGGAGGTCGTTCGGAGGGCTATTTTGCAAATGTTTTGATGATTATTTCGAGTCGAAATGAAGGGTTTATTCGGGCTATGTTTTGGGTAAGGGAGAAGTTGGGAACTTGGTACGTGGGTTCGCTGGAGTTGGGGGATTGAAGTTGAGTGCGAGGAGGTCTAGTGTGGATTGTATGGGTGAGGTCTGGTGGTGCGAGCTGGCAAGGCATGAGTGGGGTCGTGTTGGTATGGTAGGCGAGAGAGAGAGAGAGAGAGAGAGAGAGAGAGAGCCGATTGTGGAGCTGGAGTGGGTGAAAGGGAGAAGCTTGGTGCAAGAGTGCTTGTGGTGGTTATGGGTGTATAGAGGCTACGAAGGAAGGAAGGCTGAAGCAAGGTAAAGAGGCGAGAGGGAGAAGGTCGCGTGGTGGAGCCGTGGGCGAGAGAAAGGTTGGTGAAGGGAGCGTTGGCGATTGGTTCTTTTTTTCTTAAATTAAGGTTAATGAACAATAACTTCCTCTAAAACAAAATGCATACAGGGGTTTTATATGTAGGGTTTATGGAAAAATTCTAATTTAGTCCTTAGCTTTCTTCCATGGATTGATTTGAGGTCGATTTGGGTTTTCGTTTCAATAGGACCTTTAAATCTCAATTAATTAGGATTTTTCTTTTTGGTTTCTTCAAATTATACCCCTCCTTATTTTAATTAAAGGCTATAATTTTGATTTTTTGGTTGGACTCTCAATTGCCCTTTTTGTTACTTCTAAAATTTTATTTTTTCTCAATTAATTCGTTTTCTAGAATTAATCTTGGCTAATTATCCCAATTGATTTTTTTCTTTTTTTTATTTTTCATTTTTTGCTTTTTTTTTGGTATTTTATAACAAAAATAAAAATTGAATAAAAGTAATAAAGGTAAAAATTTAGGTGATAACATGCACGAGTATAGTCGACCGGTTTACAACATATTTCAAAGTATTTATAGCTTCATCGAGAAAGTCATCGTGAAAGTCATCCTGTCTAACAAAGAGAAGGATACATCCAATCGCTGTAACACAAATGAATAATATAAGCATTATAAGACAAATCCTTTGAGATCCGATTAATCTTTTACCTTTAATGTTAATTCTCTATTTACGACGAATGATATGCTACGAGGCCAAGCCAAACAAGAAAAACCGGAGGAAAGATAGAATAAAACCATCGGTACCTATGAAATTAACGAAGCTCAATAATTGCTTATTAGTGATGTTTCAACCTCCTTGATAATGCTTAAATCCATAAAGAATGTTTGGCCAATTTGTCCTCTTCACCACCAATACATCCGTGTTATTAGACCTATCATCGAATACCTAATTACTTATGCAACAACCTCCGAGATTCCATTTTTCAATAACCCTAAACTCTCCTACCCCAATATATACTTGAAAGCATCTTTAGCGAGGTCATTTTGAAGCGAGCTAAAACCAGAACAACTTAAAGAAATAACAAGAAACCAAATCTTGGAACCAAGAACATCTTCATCTTTTGCAGCTTCTTCACGTAAAACCAAACTCTCTTAACACCGTAAAAAAATCAAGAAAAACCATTCCCAAACATCTTGGCCCCCTTTCCTCTTTTCTCTCTCTCTTAAAATCTGTAGAGGTCAAGAAAAGAATCAAAGGAAATAGAGATAGAATGAAAGAGATGAAATGTGTTTCTTCTTCATTATGGCTGGTTACGGTTTAGAAAGAATGGTGGTTGATGGTGGAGGTGCTTAGAAATAGAAGGAGTTCATGGCGGTAGGTGGTGTTGTGGTCTTAGAGTCTAGTTAATAGGTGTTTGGGCGATGTAGGGGTGTTGGGTTGTGGCGTAGGAGGATAGAGGTGAGAGGTAGCTCGGCTCTCAGCACTTGTGCTTGTAAGAGGCTAGTGAGTTGGCCTGTAGGAGTGCTTGGGTGGTCGGACGTTGTCCTATGGGGCTTATGCTTAGGCAAGAGGCTACGAGCAAGGTTAAGGTGGCTTGATGAGCGGGAGCATCGGGTGAAGGAGGCTGGGTAAGGGTGTGAGGTAAGGAGATGGGGGCTATGGGCGTGGGCTTTGGTTTCAAGTGAGGGAGAGGGAGTTTTGCGAAGTGAGTTTTTGGTTACGGTAGGAGAAAGTCGAGTTGGGTGCAAAAAATGAAGAACATGAACGAGTAAAAAATATCAAAAAATGCAAAAGGGTCTTTTTATAGGTATTTTTAGAAAAGTACAATTTGGTATGTGATCACCTAAAATTGCCCGATTTAAGTTTGATTTAGGTTATTCGTTTCGATAGGACTCTTAAATCTCGATTAATTGAAACTTTTCTTTTTAATTTCTTTCAATTATGTCGCTCTTTAATTTAATTAAGGGATTGAAGTTTTGAATTTTTTAATTATGCCCTAAATTGTTCTTTTTTTTATTTTCAAACTTTTTTTTTAATTAGCCCCCTCCTAGAAATAATCTAAGCTAATTATTTCAATTGATTTTTTTTTATCTTTTTATCTTTTTATACTTGGCCTTTTCTACTTTATTTATCATTTTTTATATATATTTTTGCAATAAAGATAAAGTAGAAATAAAAATAATAAGGAAAAATTAGGTGTTAACAATGTTATTTGGTTATATGTTCATGACAAGATTGTGCTTGATAATACTTAGTTATATGTTATGTGTTTACTTGAGGTTTTGCATTTAGATTGCATCCGCGTCACGAATATGTTTTTATCATGTTTTCATGCATATAAAATGAAAGTCAACTACATGTTTTCATAAAGACGGACGACTAGATATGTTTCAAAGACGGCCTCACAAAAGAGACTAATCGCCACTTTTGTGAGAACTATAATGGGAATGTGTCCGAGTGCCTTTATGGTTTTTACAAGGGTGGTTTTCATTGAGGATTGAATATATAGACATTCGATATGATGCACTCGATGAATGAAAATATATTTCAAAATCTCGAAAGTAAATTTCTTACATTCATGCATGCATGATTACAATTGCCGAGTTTTAGCTCACAATTGTCTTATAGCACTACAAAAAAATAGAATTAGCAACGATCTAGACCATTGCTAATTTTAATTAGCAATGGTTTTGCGACGAGTACAAAAACCATCCGTAAAATGCCGATCAATAAAATTTTACGACGAGTTTTGGACCATCGCTAATTTAGCGACAAAAAAAAAAACCATTACAAAATTAGAAAAAACCGTCGCGAGAAAATGATAGTATAAGCAAGGAAATTTTGCGACGGTAAACAAAACCCTTGTTAAAACCATCGTAATTTTGCGACAATTTTAGCGAGGGTTTTGGACCATCGCTAAAATATTATTATTATTATTTACCCTCATTTTAAATTAACCAATTTCTATTTAAAAGTCTACAAAATACCCAAAACATAATATTTTAAAATTTCATAGTTGTTATTATAAAATTTATTAAAATGTAATAAATACTATTCAATTATTAAATTCTTGAAAAAAGTAGAAAGTTTGTCTTTATAAAATTTATTAAAATGTAATAAATATAATTTCAAAAATTATTAATTTTTTAATGACTGATTATTTTTGTAATTACTGAACTCCTTTACTTAATCAACAACTAAATAAACTTAATTTTAATTAGTAAAAATAATTTACAAAAAAATTAATTTTTTAATCACTACTTAATTTTATAATTAATTAACTCCTTTACTTGGATCAAAAAATATTTTTAATCACATCTAAATAAACTTAATTACTAATTAATTTTTTAATTACTAAATATAATTTACAAAAAAAATAATTTTTTAATCACTACTTAATTTCGTAATTAATTAACTCTTTTACTTAATCAACAACTAAATAAATTTAATTACTAATTAATTTTTTAATTACTAAATAAAATTTAAAATTTAATTAATTTTTTAATTCCTTAACTCCTTTACTTGAATCAACAACTAAATAAACTTAATTATTAATTGATTTTTTTATTACTAAATATAATTTTGAAAATTATTAATTTTTTGATGACTAATTATTTTTGTAATTAATAAAAATTTTAAATATTTCTAATAACTTATTAACAATTTTTCTAAAATAATTAACTTTCCAAAATACCATCAATTAAACTAACTAAATTAATAAATAAAATTTAACAATAAACTAACTAAATTAACAATTACCAATTAACAATTAAACTAATAATAATAACAATTAAATTAACAACAAAAATTAATAACAATAAAATTTCTTTAACAATAAAATTAACAATTAAACTCTCATAATTAACAAAAAATGATAACAAATAAAATTTTCTTAACAATTAAACTAACTAAATTAACAATTAATAATAAATTAAATAAATTAACAATTAACAATAACAATAAAAAAATTAAAAGTAAATTAAGTAAATAATTGAAAAAAATTAAAAAATTAATTAAAGGTTCGGATGAGGGAGGACCTTTCACCAACACAAGGAGGAGAGTGGGCTACGGCTGGTGGAGGGGCTTCGTTGGACTATTCGGTTGAAAAATGGTTGGTTGAGGAAGTAGGGAGAAAGGAAGAAAAAAGAGGAAAATGAGGAAGAAAGGAGGAGAGATGGAGAGAGAAAAGGGAAGGAGTAGAGAAAGGAGGAGATTTGAAGGAAAATAAAAAGGAGAGGGGGAATATTTGATGGAAATGGAAGGGAGATTGGCGCTAGAGAAGAAGAAGCGAGAGAGAGAGAAGAAATGTTTTTTTTCAAATTTTCGGGCAAATTGTTTTATAGGGGTTTTAGCAACGGTCTAAAAATCTTCGCTAAAACCGTTGCTAAATGTATGAAAAAGTTGAAAAATAGCCATTTTCCTCCAACGGTTTGGTAATTAGAAATGGATTTTAGACCGTCGCTAATTTACTAATTTTGCGACGAGTTTTTGTAAAAAAAAAGTCACAAAAAAGGTTGGAAGAAATAAATTTTTAAAAAATGAAATTAGCGATGGTTTTTTTTAAAAAAATATCATCGCTAATTTGCATGAAATAGAATTAGCGACGGTTAAGAAAATGGACACTAATTTTCATTACTTGTGACGGTTTGTTTTACAAAAACCATCTCAAAAAGTGGTTGCTTAATTTTTTTAAAATAAAATTGGAATTAGCAACGGTGTTTTTTAGAAAAAACCATCACAAAAAATCGTCGCTAATTTTCCTTGCTAAAGTGCTTCAAACTGTCGCAATTTTAGTAAATTAGCAAAGGTTTTGAGACTGTCGCTAATTTTTCCTTGCAAATCCTTTGTGTTTTTGTAGTTTAGTGTATAGGTAAGCTAATGATGCATGATGGCATGGTGTGAAGTTGAAGATGTTGTTGGGAGTGAGTCGAGTTTGCCAAGTGTGTACTATAAATATTGTTTTAAAATTAAAGGATAAACAATAGTAAATGTTATGTATAAACAAGTTTAAAATGTTAATGAAATAGTTTTAATTCCGTTGTGTATTATATGAGGCTTAGTGTCTCGCATTCATTGTACTATGAGTGCGGAAAATTGTCAATAGCATTCTTAGCCTTCTTTAGGCTGAGGGTGTTATGTTGTTAAGCTCTAAAGGGCATGCATGCTACTAATCACGTTCTACGTCGGAAAATTTTGGTGGCTGGTAGGTTGGCTAAATTGGCTCATTTCCATAAATCGAAGATCACGTACAATCACTTTAAAGAGTTGCCTCTTAAACTTCAGAATATTTGTAGACATGACATTTTTGGTATTTATAGTTATAGACATTAACTTTTTATGCATTTTTGGAGTGCCCTTGGTCTCCTAGTATGTTGAGTGAGGTCGAATTGCTTCTTTATGTATTGCATATTAATCTTGTATGTAATTTGTGTTAGAAGTGAGTTTTCTTTGTCCCCCATTTATGGATAAGGCCGGTTTCTACCCCCTCTATTCTATATAATATTATATTTTTGTTTTATGTTTTAGGGATCAAGCTACCTTATCCTCCATGTATATTGAGATTAGGTCAGGTTATCCTCCTTTTTATTTCTATTTTGGTTATTAATAAAATTTTCGCAAGGTATTGCCCATGTTTCCTTAAAAAAAAAAAAAAAAAGAAACTAATTAGATTATGATATTATGAATTAGATATAAAATTTTGATTACTATAAGTTTGATAGCTACAATTTAAATATCCAAAACTCAATTGAGTTGATGTAGGTTCTATAATTTTTTAAATTCTTTTATCAGTCATAACCCACTTTGAGATCGTGATACTAGATTAGATCGTCCATTGATAATTCGTAATTACTTAATATAAAATTAGTTTTATGTTAGACGAGAGAGAGTATCGATAAATAGGGAATATTGGACTTCAATTTAGTTCATTCAAGAGGTCTCACAAATCATTCCATGCTAAGTTAAATAAGATACTATAACTTTTGGATTTATTTATTTATTGTTTCGACAGGTGATATCCTTTGCCGAAGGAAAATGCATGCAATTAGTTATTTTTCATGATTGATAACAAAGTTATGATATTCGACAAACCCCAACCTAATTCCACGTTGTTGCCTGGGTGGTCGGTAAATTTCCCTATCTCTCACATGCTACCGGCCACCAAAAACGTGCTTATTTTGTGGCTCAATTATATTTCCATATTTGACGAGTGAAAAGCTGTAATTTGTTTTTCTCCTGAGTCTTGTTAGTCATAAGAGATTGACCTCTATTAATTTTCTTGAAAAAATAAATATCCAAGAACTTAATTTGCGTGATTAATTTCAAGAACTGGAAGGCTAGTTGCGTCGCTGTTATTGGTTGACCATGCGTTTTTCTTCTTCTTCTTCTCATAATTAGATTAATTTCCACTATTTTTAACGTTTTCTTTAAGATTAAGGTTATAGTAAGAGAAAATCACGGGCAATGATTGCACATGCTTGGTCGAACGACAAACAACATATTTTCTGATCTGAGCGTTTCATGTCCAAGTCTTTTGTGGCAAGTTCTATCTCGAGTCAGCAAGGAGTGGGATGTTTTTGCTGAATGCCCACTTGTGTTAAACCATTGTATATATATTTCTTGCTGAGTAATTT